ACTACTCGCTGCTTCCTATCTGTTAACCAGTTATCAATCCAGGTTGCTACAGTTACTAAAATATGTTCATAAGAATCATTAACTGAACTTAATGAAGAAAGTTATGTACATGAGAAGTTCTGCAGAACAATATGTAGACTAGGAATACCCTGTTCGAGAATGGGTTAGGTCAACGTGTTCATCGGCACCACCCCCCACCAGCTGGCGCAATCCACTGAGGCGGATCTCAGGTTTGACCTGGGGAAACAACAGAATAGCCCTGGTCTAGGCTGGGCAATATCTATTGTTATTTGAAGAGAAGGAAACATTTCAGATTAAGACACTTCTAGAACCTAAAAATGCATTATAACATACAGTATGCTAAGAGTGAAATATTGCAAGATTCCAAAAAACAGTACATTTCTTCTAAGGTTGTGTGTGTTGACTTCACGGACTGCGATATGAAATTTTGGTTTAAAACAAACTACAATGGTTTTATTCTGAAAAATAGTAGGTATGTGTAATCAATTATTTTTATTATTCAGTTATAAATACTCATAAAAAGAATGATCAATACAAAAAAGAAAATATTTCAAAGTTAAGCAATATATCTCCATACCATCAAATTAAGTGCAATGATACCATGACAGCACTGAATACAGATAACGAAATCAAGTTTTCTTTTTTTTGGGGGGTGGGGGTTCGTATAATTTCGGGATAATTTTTCACAGTTAATACATCCAACTAAGTTTGAACATGCCCCCAGTAGTTGAAGATGAAACTGCATGTACTTAAAATCAGTTCAGCGGGATATGTGAGCGGGAAACTTCATCCAATCTCATGTGTGTTAGAGGTAACAAACAATCCATATCAAGACGAGACATGACAGTCATCAAGCAACATCCCAGGTTAAAGCAAATGTCTCCAAAAACAAACAAAAAAAAAAGTGATTCAAGACAAAACACCGGCCTGTTACAGTTCAGAGGGAATTGATTAGGTTCACACACATCTGTGCTAGCTTACGTCAGTCAGGAGCAGTCATGTTGGTGCCCTGAGTCTGAAGAAGCATTCCATTCAGGGCTCATCCTCCAGGTAAACCAATTTCAGTGATAAATTTGCAGGCAGTCAGCTGAATGCCTGTTTGCCAAGGTGAGGTTCAGCAAAAGTTCATTTGGCCACTGGTCACACCCCGAACAAAGAAGGGCACTGTAGGATGGGGATAACTGCATCATACAAGGAGCATTCTACTGAAGAGAAGAGTGCAAGTCGCTGACTCGCTGCCGCAGATAGGTCAGGAACTCAAACATGGTTGCTGCCAGGCTCTGGTGGATGAGGTAGCGAGGAAGACGACCCTAAAGGGACAAACATACAAATTTCAGTGTCTACATGCAGTAAAACAGGGATTAAAGAAAAAAAAAAAACATTCTGACTGAATTTTTTCTCAGGCCACATTAGTGTGTGTACACAATGTCCGGCCACTGTCACCATCCGCTGGTGCAGGCAGTCAGCTGCTTTCATTACGCAGTGTGGTCCTTTCCTTTAGGTTTTCAAGGTGGAGGTAGATGAGAAAAAGGAAAACTGTATTTATGGTCTTAGCCCTCAAGGCCTGCTAGACAGGCCTTGAAGGCTAAGCACCACCATTTTAGCAGCACCCTATGCATAACTATTGCTGCTGTTCTCTAATGCAGTCATCAAGGCCAGGATTGTCTCAATTTTTAGTCATACAAATAATCAACCATCTCCATGACTTTTCAGTGCATGATTTTATTTATTTTAGCATTAAACAAAATGTAAGAATTTATGTGAGAAATCATGTGAGAAAAAGACAAAACACAAAACAACAGCAGCAGCATTAAAGAACAATAAGTGCAATTCTCGCAATAAGTTCACACATTTTAGAGTGCTTTTCCCTTTTTCTGCTTTTTGGCAGTGAAACCACACATGTCAAACTTGGCTACAGAGAGAGCTATAGACCTTCTGCACCTATGGCTTTTTCTCCACTCTAGCTTTGTTCAAGGCAAAGAACCTGAATCTCCCCACAAAGAAAAATTTATCAGGGTACAGCAAGTCTCTCTTCCAAACATCAATCTTTAACAAACCCATCACACTCAAGAGGACTGTTTCAGGTTTCATGAACTTGGGAAGGAGTTCCCTGACCAGCAGAACTATTTCAGAATGCAGCACATGGAGCATTGGATTTTCATGAAATAACTTCTTCAAGAACATCTGGAAAGTTGGAAGTATACCTGAAAATCACAACAGAACCCGATTAGAAAAGTGGATGAATATTTTTAACCATCCTTTCCTGATCACATGCATAGTAATGTAACATACTTGTCTTAGAATATTGAAAACCATATCAAGTAATTTAACCCAAGAATAAGGCAATTGTTATTGCCTGCCATTACTGCTCCTAACATAACAATTGTTTAACATAACAATTAACATATAAATATGATATAAATAATGTATGATTTACTCAGATTTATTTTAGAGGAAACATATGCAAGAAAGAAAATATTAAAGATGGTAAATACATAATATGTATCTGTACATTTCTTTCCACTAAAAAACTGACTGAACAAACCATAGAGTACACACATGTACACACACCTTTTTTGTTCCTGTTGCAGAAGAATGGCCTTCTCATCATTAGATGCAACTGCATGCTTATCAAGAACCTGGTTCAGGAGCCATATGCATCAGAAAAAGCATATACACATTCGATCAAGAGGAGACAACAGGAATTGAGATATTTGTTCTGGCTTATTTTATGAGATTTTTCAATTGGCCTACTAACACAGAGAAAATAGATTATATAAAAAAGAGAATGTTAATGTTATTGTATCTGTGTCGATCGGTTTGCAGCTTTTTGGGTATCCTGCCTTCAGAGAGAATGTTTTCAAACACTTTCTTTACCTCTGCACCTGTCTTGCTTTTAAGACACCGCACCCAAGCGTATTTTGATAGAATGCCTATGCACGTTAACATGTATTTAAAATCATCATTCTGGTCCGCGTTGTCACACCCAGCTCCGTCCGATCCTCGTGTGTGCCACGCCCACCTCGTTACCTCCTGTTTCTCCCTGATTGTTCTCACCTGTTGCTCGTTACCCTCAGCTTGTCTTGTGTATTTAGTCCACGTCTCGGTTAGTTTCCCCCAGATTTGTCATTGACGTTTTATAGATGTGCTTCCCCCGGTCCAGTCTTCAGAATAAACCCCGTTTCATTGACTTCCTGGCTTGGCTTGCCTTCTTCCCCGTTCGCCTGCAGCACTTTACGTGACAGAATGACAAATCTCCGCAACAAGCTCAGCGCTACTGAGGAGGTTCTCCCCATGGAGGAGGAAGTAATCCGGTGGACGAATCTGCTCGATCTCCAAGAGGATCCAGTAGCCCACCAGCTGGTGGACCGATGTTGGGAACTCCTAGACAGGAGGTTCCGTACCGGTGAGGAGCAGCAGCTAGAAGAGGTGGGTGACAACCTACAGCTGCTGAGGGAGAGAGCGGCAGTTTGGCTGCCCCACCTGGGGTATGCCGCCTGGGAACTGCCCCCCGACTCACCACCTGCCACCATCCCGGTCTCGAGCAAGACAGCAAAGGCTCCGACCTCGGCCGCACAGCTAAAGATTACTCCTCCAAAGCGCAAGACTGAGCTTAACGCGGCTTCGGCCGCTCAGCTCCCCAGCTCTGGGGAACTGCCTGGGCTAAGCACCCAGGGTAAGGACCTGCCTTGGGTCCCAGAGGGCCCCTCTCTTCCTAAGAGGAAGAGGCGCAGGGGAAAAAGGAAAGGAGCCCCGACGATCTTCATGGGGACCTGCTGTCTCTCCGCAGTCACTCTCCCCACGGAATGTCAGGAGAAACCCCTCCTGGTACAGAAGCCGCCTCCATTGGAGGCATACCAATACCGGCTGGAGCGCCTGCACAGTAAGGGGATCAGCGCCATCTGGGACGCTATTCCCCAGGTCCCTAAAGCCCTTAAAGGGGCAGCTCCGGTCCTGCCTGCTCCGGTCCTGCCTGCGGCACCGCCTGCTGCTGCTGCTGCCGCTCTGCCTGCGGCACCACCTGCTGCAGCTTCAGTCGCCGCTCTGCCTGAGGTGCCTGCTGAGGCACCCCCTGCTGGCCACGTGTCGGCGGCGCCCGCCGAGGCGCCCCCTGCTGGCCACACGCCAAGAGGTACCCGCCGAGGCGCCCCCTGCTGGCCGCACTAAGGGTCCAGGTGTGCGCGCCTTTGGGGGGGGGTTCTGTCACGCCCAGCTCCATCCGATCCTCACGTGTGCCACGCCCACCTCGTTACCTCGTGTTAATCCCTGATTGTCATCACCTGTTTCCTGTTCCTTTTTGACCTGTGCATATTAGTCCGCGTCTCCCACTGTCTCCCAGATCGGTCATTGATGTTGTCGTGTCTCGTGCAAGTTCGTGCCTGTCTGCCCTGTCATCTCCAAATAAATCCCGTTTGGCTCTACTCGCCTGCTTCCCCGCTCGCCTGCTTGCCGAATCATAACACGCGTAAGCCGACATGTCCACCAAGTCAGCTTGCCATTGAGAATCGATATTAGTCACAAAGACTCTATTCCTTTTAGAGTTAAATCTGATTGGCTTATGTAATGTGTATGCATCTTCACCAGACAGCCATGTCACCTCTACTGACTCGGGTGTTTCACAGAACACCCGACACAGGTCTCCTTCATGTCATCTTCGATGATCCGATCCAGAATAAAGACCACTTCATGGCAGAGTCGGTGATGCTCCCATCCACAGCATCTTCAGATAATGACTGCGCCGCAAAATGTGCACAGAGCTCATCCATCGTCGGGGCAGGGGGCCGCGATGTGTCCATTAGGTCGGAGGCCTCGTGCGGAGGTTGTTGTGATCCTGGCCACACTGCTCAGGTAGGACTCGGTGGGGGTGGTGGTGGCAGGAACGGATCCCCATACAGGCCCCATGATGCGGCCTGCCGCGGGATAAGTTGAGGAAGCTCTGGCAGAATGTCCAGTCGCAGTTCAAAAGATGATGCCCGAGGCCATGATGGATACCACTGAAGGTATGGGTCTGTATCACCCATTCGCAGGCCAGAAGGCAATGCAGGCTCCAGTAGGGCGGCTTCAGGAGATGCCAGGCTGATGTGATGTCAGTTCGCTCGCCATTGCTTGCTGGGGGATGTGTCTCGTCCTGAGTGATGGCTCACAAGATGGCCGGGTTCAATATGGTTAAGCACGGCCTTCTCTCATCTCATTGGTTGTTATCCGTTGTTGTCGCCATTTTGAAATGCGTGTCTACGTGAGTGCGCCTGCGCCAAGTGCTGCCCCACGGACAATCATTTGACGCACAAGTTTTGAACGGAGCGGACGCACACGGCCGAGCTGCGGTGCTAAATGTTTGCTGGTTAAATGTTTTCTTAAACCTAACACTGGTAAATATCACTAAAAGTTTTTCTTCTTCTTCTTCTTTAAACATGTTGGTTAAATGTAATGGGTTTAAGTGCTTTCTTTTAAAACCTTGGGCTAAAATATTTGTGCTTTATGTCAGAATGTAGTCGGGCCTACTCATGCCTGTAACCATACCCTTGATTTGATTATTAGTCATGGCATCCTGGTGGAACATGTATCTACTATGCCTCAGAGTCCTCTGCTCTCAGATCATTACTTTTTAACGTTTGAAATCCAGTATAGCCTCCCGTTGACCACAGCTCCAAAGTACAGAATCAGACGTTCCATTGCCTCACTAACTACAACAACATTTATGAAAGAACTTCCACAGTCCTTCAGCCTTACATCTGAAGCATCGTGTGCAAATGAACTTGAACAGGCAACTGCAAACATGGAAAGATCCCTTCGTAGCACACTAGATCTTGTAGCTCCACTTAAGAAGATAAAGCTAAGATTAAGAAGATAAAGATAAGACCGTGGCTGTATATCTCTGTTGGTATTACTAGTTTAACTGCAGCATTCGATACTGTGGACCATAATATCCTCTTGGACCACTTAGAAGGTGTGGTTGGCATTAAGGGGATAGCACTCTCTTGGTTCCGCACATATTTAACTGATCACTATCAGTATGCCCATGTGAACAATGAATCATCCAAGGCAACAAAAGTCAAATATGGTGTCCCACAGGGATCAGTACTGGGCCTGCTACCTCTTGGTAACATTATTAGAAATCATGGTGTTAGGGTTCATCGTTATGCAGATGATACACACAGTTGTATATATCTGTTAAACATAATGATACATCACTGCTCTCTCAGAAGATATTAAATATCCGATGCTGGATGGCGAAAAATTTCCTAATGTTAAACACAGAAAAAACAGAAGTACTGGTATTTAGTCCCAAGGCTGCAAGAAATAAGTTTCACCACCTCAACATTTGTGGCCTCCCTACAAAACCTAACATGGTGGTTAGAAATCTTGGTCTTCTAGTTGATTCAGATTTATGTTTTGATGCTCACATAAGAAGTATTACTAGAACTGCGTTTTATCATCTACGGAACATAGCCAAGCTTCTGGTTGCCTGTCTGGATCTTTACATAAACCCCCCCCCCCCCCCAAATTTTAACCGACATGAAAATTTACAAGAAAACATTTTCAGCATTAATGAAAAGTCAAACATAGAAGAGAAAAAAGGACCCCCCCCCCACAAAAAAAGGGAAAAAAGAAAACATCATTGCAGCTAATAGTCAAACATGTTGGTCACCTAATGATAATTGGAACCAGATACAGAATTGTCGTTACACAAACACAACAGAGATCATTCCAGCCACCAAGGCTACAAAATATAAAATGAAACCTTAGTTACTCAGGGATGGCCCTAACCCTAATTTTTGAACATGTGCAGAAACAGGACCCCATATGTTATTAAACTTGTGCAGTGAACCATTCAGTGTACACCTTATCTTTTCAACTTCAGCAAAAAACAGAACACCCTTAATCCATAAGGAGTGAGGGAGAGGAACAGAAGACTTCCACTTCAGCAAAATCAGCCATCTAGCTAGTAGAGTAACAAATGCCACAAAATCTGCTTTATATTTTGGAAGCAGTAAATTAGGGGGCAAAACCCCAAATAGTGCTGTGAGTGCTAGTGGTTCAATTTGAACCGCAACACAGACAGAAATTGAACTAAAACCTGCAACCAAAAGGCATGTAAAGAAGGGCATGACCAGTGCCATGACCAATGAGCCAGTGCTGACTCAGTGCTGTGTAAGGTTTTAAATCCAGATTGAAACACTTCTAAAATATTATGCTTTTCCAGAAAAGCAATTAATTGACTATACACAATCTTCTCAATAACTTTAGAAATAAAGGGTAGTTTCAAAATGGGTCTGTAGTTCTCGAGAACTGTGGAATCTAAAACCGTTTTTTTAAGAAGAGGGTGAACAGCATGATGAAACAATATCAGAGAAATAATTGCTCTTGGCATCCTTCACAGTTTTCTGATAACGACTCCAATAGTCGCGTAACATTTGAAAGGACACCTGAAGTTTGTCCTTTTTCCATTCGTCTAACTGCACGAGTCTCATCGTTTAGCCAAGGCTCAGATTTAATTTTTTGGCGCCTGGTTTTAATGGGAGCCACGGTGTCCAGAACTGTTTGGCAAGCAGAGTGAAACCATGAGCTAATCTCATCAGTACTGTTACACATAACATCATGAACAGGATAATTCTCAGTAAAAATGGCAGAAAACTGA